GACAATAACGATTTATCGATATACTCATAATACTCGTTACGGGTTGAGTCATCGAATACGTCGAAAAGTGTACAGTTATAAATATGAAACGGAAATTTATAAATTTAATTTATATACAGCCGCGTAGCGAAAAGAAACTTCCAGAAGTTCTCGGTGAACTCGTCGGTTCTCGTTCCGCTAATTTATCGCGAGTAAAACAGTAGAGGCATCGTTGTTTGATCGAAATTAATCGAAAGGAAAAATAAATTACAAGTTTCGGGACACGATCGATGGGCACCGTGCTCTCGATTATACTGAGGGTGTCCAAGAAGTGCCAGCAATTAACTGCAGCACTGATCGTGTATCTTATCGGTGAATTAAAAAATTTCTTCATAGACTGGAATATAATATTTAGAACTGTTAAAAACTATATTGTCCTGCAATAACTTCGTGCAACCGATTCGACAAAGTCGATCAGACACTGCATCGATATATCTATTCTCAGAATAAATGATTCAAACAATTCGTGTTCTCTGAAAAAGATTTTTGGACGAACATAACTCAGTTCCGGAATTTGGAGCCAAATGCGAGACGAGAGTTTACGTCTCCAAATGTGTCGAGTATAATACTCGACGACGTAATACAAGCACTTTATATTCTAATTTTGCTAGACACTTAAGAGTCGAAAGATAATTGTAACTTTCGGGACACCGCGTGTATGAAAGCGCAGTTGTGCTCCCTGCCAAAATTTATTCTCTTTCCCTTGTCCAGAGAGAAAGAAAGAAGAAAAAAAAAGAAAACGAACACCAGACGCCAGATTCGAAGGCGTGGAATGCCAAGTAGTACTCGAGAGAGCACGAAACCGAACGAGCACGCGTGTTCAGCAGCTCGGTCTGACGCACGAGAAGCGACCGTGAACAGAAACCAGACACGCGTGTAACGTTAAACCGGGCCATCGATGGAAAAAGTACAAAAAACAAAGGGAAATATCGAACGTCGCGACTTACAACGCGATGGATTTTTTTAATGACAGATAAAATCACCAATTCGTAAATGTACCAGGACCCCATAAGACCTAATTCCATTTCGAAAGCTCGTTAATCGGATCTACGGATTACATTTTCATTCTGTATAGTACAGAAGGAACAACTAACTTGTCAGGGAACTACATTTAGAACAGCTGAATTGTTCCTATAATTTGAGAAACCATTTGTAAGGAGCAATTGTAACCTATATTTAGTCGTCATTCGAATGAGAGCCTATGAAAGAAGCACTTAAGCTAGAAGTGTAAAGTAAGTGGTCTAGAAGTGTAAAAGTAGAGAAAATTTGAATCTGGAAAGGATCTAATTGCCATGCACTTTAATCAGCTTATAAGGATTCGGTGAGTGTCAGACGAGAGTCTGATTTGTGGAAATCTTTAGGAACAGACAGGAAAATTTGGCCAATTGGTCAAAATGGTTTTAGTGGAAAAAGTGCGTACCAGCAACGCGACAAGATTTCTTATTACGGAGCATTTAAGTAATGAGCCGGCACTTAGCAGCGTCGCTTCTCTTTCATTCTCCGGGCTCTGTGATCGTCGCAGCAGCTCTCCTATCTCTTCAAAGATGCTTGCTTTTTTCCTCTGGTTCCTAGAGAAACGCCCAGTCGTCTAGTGACAATGACCGACCAGGCCTACCATTAAGCTCGGTGCTTTCTTTCGAAGCACGTCTAGCACACCTGAGGGCTCCTTTTCCCGTCTAACAATGCCACTTTGTAGAATGGAGTTACCTTTAGCTGGACCATCTTCGTCATCAGGCTCAGACGTCTTCTCAACTTCCGCCGGAACTATCTATCTTCTAACTCTTTCTGTCGCGTCTGTTACGTAACAAATTCCGAATGGCGAAATTTGTGCTACAAAATGTCGCGCTGAGAAAAATTCCGAAACTTTTAGTTACCAAGATATCCATATCCTTATATTCCTAGACTCTTCCCATTCTCTAATTCTCCAATTCCATTTCCCACAGTTCTCAGAGAAAATAAGAGAGTACATCTTTGAAACAATGATCGAAGTTCCATTTATTTGAGAACAATAGGCAAGTGTTGATAACAGCGAGTATCGAACATAGGCGACATTTTTAACGCGTCGTTATCACGACGCCTCTAGGATGGAAAACTGTGTCTACAAAACGGTCGTGTACCCAAGAGATACGGTGGACGATTAAAATTGCAGGCTCACCGTCGCGATTCTTTTTCTACGATGGTTACTCGTCTCGCTCCCGGCTTTCTAGACAATCCAACGTTCTGCTTCCTAGATCTTTGAATTGCAATCTCTTCGCTGAAAGTTTACCGAATGGTAGTATAGTATTTTACATGAACGAACCGGTGAAATATTGCTATTGTATTATTAGTTCTCTTTTTTTCATTTTCTCGAGAGTGAAGACACGATGTCACTTTGGCCCGCTTCAGAAATTAAAATTTTATGGAAATAGAAATAAATGAGAAGTTCACGATGTCAAAGATATTTGCAATTCACTATGAGGAATCAAAGTTTGAAAAGAATAAAGATTCCACGCGATAAGTTTTGAGCGTTCGGAAAATGCTAGTGTAGAAAGAAGAATTCGAAGAGGGTGGTCGTTTAAAGGGGTCCAGTATCACTGTGCAACGATTTTTTCCCCGAAACCGTTAAATTCCTCAGATAGGCAACGAAAATGAAAATCGTGTAGCGAGCCGATGGAAAACTGTAACCTTCGATGCAAAAACGAGATAAAGGAGGATTTATTTGTTATCCTAAAGATACCATGAAAATTTGCTCCGACTATTTTTCTCCGTGGATCTGAGTTCCTCGGAAAAATACATTTCCTCGAACAGATTCGAAATAATGCAAGGCATCTCGAACGCGTTAAAAATATATCTAGAACGTTGCAATCGGGCTTCAAAAGGTTTCTTATTGTTTCGAAGTTACTGTTCGAAGAAATTGAACTTCAATTAAAATATTTGTGAGCAAAAGAGATTCTTCGTTTTAACATCTTATTCTATGCTAATTTTATTATCTGAAATCACTGTGTGCGACTTTAACTTCACAAAAGACACCTTCACTTTCTTCCATCCTCTATTATTTGCTTTTGAAACGAGGGTTACCAGTCTGTTTATACATTCAAATTGTAATTGTGCATCGCGCGATTACATTTCGAAACATTTTCTTGCATTCAGATTCGTTTTGCCAGTTATTCTCCTAGCGTCATAAAAGTCTGTAAGTTGTAAACTAATGCGTGGAACAATGCAAAGTGTTTTAACATTTGTCAGTTCAAATGCGTGCTTTACCTATACTTCTTGTAAATTTTTTTTCTCCATGGTCTGTCCCCTGTTCGTAATCCATTCGTTATCCGCGCTCGGTCCACTCCATGCTCTGTGATGTACAAAAAAGGAGAGACGTACGTTTCTCACGCGAATCAGTAGAGAACAGAAGGAGATTAAATATTAAATCGTCGGAATAACTCGTTTTCGCGATCTGTGTAATTCAACTGACGTTTCCATTCGTCGGTAATTACCGTTGAGGATGGTTACTTTGTTCGAAGGGTCACGAAAAAGCGATCACGAACCGATAAGAAAACGAAAGAAAGGAGCGGGTTCGATCGCATCGCGAACATTCTCTTGTTTTTAACGAGAGGTGTATTTTTTTGTCCTTTGTTGAAGGTACGTCACGAAACGCGCGTATTGTATTATGATGGCGTGTTGCATTGGTAAAAACGGGACACGCGGGGATGTATGCACGCGCGTACAGGACGTGAATTTTTGCGTTTCGTCTTCTCGCGGCGTGAGAAGAAACACTAGACAACGTTCGCTGATATATCGCACGGGGATACAAGACACCACCGCGAAACCGGTGTGTTTCGAGGCACACGGATAGGGCACGCATGGATGACTGGGAACTCATTCCGGCACAAGGATAATCTTGATTGAGGACGTCGGCAACGATGCGAGATTATATAAATTAATGGTAATCGCTCTCTCGGGTATTCTTTTCCCTTTTTCTGGATATCCAACTGAAAAACTTCGCTGCCACGTTACGCGATTCTTCTTTCTCTGTTTTCTCCGCTGTTCTTCCTACGTCCTCGCTAAGAACGCGCAGCTACCCGATATTTCAGGCTTGGATTCCTTGAAAACACCCATGGGATGCATTCGGACGAATGTAACAATTCGGAAAATATCTCCGATTCCCAACCAAGCTCGCTCGACGATTCATAATCGACACATTCGATTAGTCGAGTATTCAAAAAGAACCGCAATCGAAAGTTCATAATAATTTCTGTCCGGGTAATTTTCGATAAAGTTATTTGTTGCAGCCGAACGAATACAGATTAAATTCGAATCGAAACGAGCGGCACGGAATCTCGCGAGCGACGTTGCGCACACAGGTACGCGCAGGCGGGTTTCTTTTAAATACGAGTCGCGCATTCGCGTAGTAGCATTCGTCGTCCACCTGCAGCGCGGGACGCGCAAGCGTCGTACAGTCAAGTGGCTTCGATAAAAAAGCTAACGACCCGGTTAAGAGATTTTGTAACGACACACGGGGATCGAGAGGTCGCGGTCAGCATTATCGCGCGACGCTTTTCTCCAGTCGCCTCTGGCGTACCTTTTCTTATTGCGTTAATTAATTACGGATCTTAGTTGCCGGCGGTCCCATTAGAACTGAAAAATAATTGAACTGGATTCCAGCATGTCAAACTTCAGTCCACGAACCCGATACCGGTCCCAGTGTCCCTCTCCATTTTGCTTCGTTAATGCGTCAGGTGCGATTCAGCAACCGACGGGACAAACGTACCTATATAATACCTATAATCGATGAAACACGGCAAAATACAAACATTAATCCCTAAATAATCTCCTAGTATCGAAGATGTGATAAAATTTCGATCGTCAGTATTTGTCCATAATAATAGTTTGAAGGTGTCGCGCAAGTTGGCACAGGGACCCCAAGTACCTTAACGACGGCCCTGCACTCAGGGGTTAAAAAGAAGCGAACAACATACACGGCTACTCACCAGTGTCCCTGGTACGAAGTCTTGACGAGCTTGACGGTGAAGAGGAACTGTATAGCGCAGACGAGGAGACAGCATAAGTTGAGAGACAGAGCTAGGGCGCACAGCGCCAGAGTAACCTCGTATACGATCGTATACTCTTCCGGGCTGATCAGACTACTCGGCGTGACCGTTAGCGGCGAGATCTTCAGAAGGAAGATCAGGGAGAGTAGCGCCAGTAACAGGGACACTAGACACAGCAAACCGAGACTGGTGAGGGTCTCTTTGGCCCCAGCCTCGTGATCCTTGTGATTCCTGGACAAGGACGAGGACCAAGAGGCGTTCAAGGGTAACGCGATGGAACCACCGCCTCCAGTCAACTGACCGCTCAGGACCGTGGCTTGAAGAGCGGGCGCTGGCGAGGGTGTCGTTTGGCTAGGTAGCCTGGACAGTCTAGAAATGTCGAAACCACCGTTCACTTTGGGCCTGTTGTCCTGGTGCACCGGCGCGGCCGGCACCACCGTGTGTCCCAGAGCGTTCGACACGTTGTTGTTGTTGTTATTGTTCCCGCCAGCAACGGGGCTGACGCTGTTGACCGAATGCTTCGACGTGGACAAGGTGGACAGGTTGAGGGCGTGCGAGTGATTCAACCGTTGGGACAGATTGTTCACGCTCAGCTGAGAGTGGTTGAGGGGATGCCTGTGCGTGGACGAGGGCGTCGTCGCGGCCTGATGGACGCTACCCCTCTGCTGCGACGCCGGATGAACCACCGAGTCGTAGACGTCGACGCCGCGTCCACCGTTCCCGGACGGACGCACGCTTCCGCTTTGGTTGTAGTGATGATGTTGATCCTGTTGATGATGATGATGGTGGCCGCCGTGCAACGAGCCCGAGCTCGCCTGATACTCATTGTGGTGATGTCTGGAGCCCGCTGACGACGGTTGCCCCGTCAGGATATGCTTCAGCATTACTCGACGATGGGTTGCCGGGAGGAAGACTGGGCTTCTTCCTGCTCCTCTACATGGCCTCCTTTCCTTTCCTTTCCTTTCCTTTCCTCACTGGGATACTCTCGCTGCCACCTTGAGACGATTCGTCGTCAGCTGGTCCACGCGCTTTCGAGGAACGTCTCGCGGTAGGATCACGTTCCTGGGCTTAGGGAGTTGCTGCATGCCAACTCCACCATGGCGACGCCACTCGTCGGCCAGCCTACATAGCCACCTCTTTCTACTTACACCGTTTGCGACCGTCTCGAGCGTAATTCTCTGCGAGCCAGCTTGCCAACAGTAGACATCATCGATGCAGGCATGATTAAACTCGAGTACGATCATAGGTAGCCCGGTGCGCGTCCGATACGAACCGGAGCAGGAAGTACCGTTTGGTCCTTCGACGTGCGATCGACGAGCTATCCTTCCAACAGGTTCGCGACTTTTGTCCCGTTGAATACCACTTGGTTCTCGGCAAAAACTCGACGACTCGCATCAGAGTGGCACCGGTACGCGGCTAATTACCGACCGATCTCTGACTGCTTCCTTCGAGTTCGTAGCGGCACTGGCCGGAAATTCTGCAGGAAACAGCATCGAGTGTACTCGTTTTCGGAAACGTTTCGTAGGCTGGTCCTTGGGATCCGCTCGCTGACAAGCGATCGTATCGAAGGCTCCCAGGTGGTCACTGCTGAACCGAACTCGACCGGATTCGACTCGTAGCTTGTTCACGAGTCACGCTGCTCGAGGAGGATCGCGACGAAAGAAGCGCAGGAAACATTGTTGGCGTGAGCATGATTAGATCCGGTTCGCTCGATGACCTTGCCAATGAGAATAGCGGTTCGTTAAGGCGGTTGCAGCCTTGGTCTGCTTCTCTGTCGATTTCCAGCTAACTCGTCAGCCGGCATGGCTTCCGAGATGCTCCTTCTGGAACAGGTCGAAGGAAATAATTAATGGACACCGTGTACCCGCGTCGATTCATCTAGCGTTGAGAGCCTCAACCGTAAAAAAGAACTATAAACGCTCGGGGTATAATCTATTCCTTCCTTCGCGTCCTAACGTCCTAACGTCCAATCTCCGCTCTATCATCGCGACCGAGGATTCTCCTAAGCTCTTATGTCCCAGTCTATCCGGTGAATTAGGATCGATAGACTACCGGTTAAAGTCGAATCGAGAAGAATAGATCGTTGCGATCAAATTTTTCGTGTACTTTGATATCGACCGATACGATGGATCGTCGTTTGAGATAGTCGCAGCGATTACCCTCTTGATAGAATGCACGACGTTAATACTAATCTAAAGTTACAGTTATGGGATAACAAATTACTTGTCTAAGGAAGAGTCTGTATCGCGGATTAACGTAAATGCAAAATTTATCTACTTAATAACTTGGTGTCGTAGATAACGATGTAAAGTAATTGCAACATATTTGTTGCAACGCATAATCGCTTGTAGATTAACTCGTAATTAAAATTATATTAAGGATCGTGGTTTGAAAATGTGCATAAAGATACACGTACTCGCGGATTTATCAAATAACGACTAAGCAAATTACGCAGTTAGGTAGCCGAGGATAGAGTTACGCCACAGTTGCTCGGTCGAATTAAAGTATCACAGGAATACGGAGACTCGTTTACGGGTTAAGTTCCTCGAGTAGTCGGACTACTATATTTTCCGGTCGTTACCTTCTACATAATGGGACATTAAAGAGCCACCGACACTACGTTGCAATTTTTTCTCAGCCGTTTATTATCAAATTATCCAGCGAGTATTACTTGCAGGGCGGAATCGTAACGATTCGTGTCTCCTGTCATTGTGCTAAGGTACGTGGACAAATCTGCCTTTGTCCTCTAATTATTGCTTACGGAGGTCTTTAAATCGCCGCGAAATAAATTGCTGTTTGAATAACCGAACACAATTTTATCAACGAACGAAACGTAACTAGAATCAGATTTCATTTTTTATAGTAGAATCGAAGAGTGTACAGCACAGCGATAGAAACGAACGTTTTACGTGCTTTCTTCTATCGCTATATGGGTCACAGCAGTGAGCAATATTGATTTAGTAATAAATGAGTTTTATGTGCGCAACGTTACCGCTAGATCGATACACCATGCCTCTGTTTTAGAAAATTCTCTTACAATTTTAACAATACATACGTAGACACGAGTATTCGTAATCTCGTCCTCGGAATGTACACTCGAATCCTGTTTGCTTAAAATTTTCGACTGATGTATCGTTTCGTGAATAAATTGTTCAAAGATAAAATTCGAGTAAATCACTTATCGACGCTTGGAGAATGTAATTATGCGAATTTCGAGAATTAAACAATCTGTCGAAGGGTTAAACGCTCGCGTTGGAGCCGCTCGCTTCGATACCGTTACGCTTGCTCGGTTGGAAGCTCGTAACGCTCGAGTTGAGACGCGTCTCGGTCGCCCGAGTCGGAAGATCGACGCTATTTTCTCGTCTAAGATCGATCAATGGAAAGCCTGCACGGAAGACAGGCAAATACCAATGAAATATTAATGTTCTCCACTACTCATCGCGAAATAGCCGGTCTATAACGGTATTCTATGTTCCCGAAGCTTCTGTTGCTCGTTTTTAAACAGACTTTCTTTGTATCAATGAAATTACGCGTCGCTCGCTCTGACATTTAACATTTCAATCCGACTTGAAACCGAGTGTGACAAAGAAAGTGGCGAACTTTCACCGAATAATAAATCAAAATTATTATACCTTTTCCGAGCTTGCCAAAGTCTATATTAGTGTGACTAAATTATGGCAAATTAACTGACTCGGGGAGTCGATTCGGTCATTTTTCGCCTTCGAGTATGCGCTACAGGTTTCTGAGGTCTAACTACGCTGCTCGGTGCATCTCAATTAAATTTCAGATTTATAGTTTAGGTACGTCGCGTATACGAGGGGAATTAATTACTGCGCTCTAAAATGTACGTACACGAATAATAACGTTGTTATTGGTTCCCTGTACACAGAAATTACAGTTATCAGTTGCAAGTATTCTCTAGCCGCGCCCCGTGTCCACTGGAAGGATCAACCAGTCCTATCGAACGAAAATCAAATTAATTGGACCGAAGCGAAAGTTAAAATAAGTGGTCATCGACCATCACGGTTTCCTCTATTCGAATTGTCCGGCTTGCCTCGTTAACGCGGCTCTCCGTTAACCAGAAGACACGCCATCATCGAGGCCAGCCTCGGTTTTGAATTTTCACGGGGTAACTTGACTCGATCCCGCGGATCTCTCCGCTTCCCCTCTCGACGATGTTCCAGATCACGTGGCAGAATCCTGAACCGCAGGATCGTCCGAGCAAGCAAAAAGAACAGCAGAAAAGAGAATCTACAACGAGGAGAGGCTGTTGTCAATAGCCAGACTTGACTCATAGAAACGGGTTCCGCTCGCATTCCGGACATCCACGAGAGCAGTCTGCTGGTCACGAAGCTTTCGTTCAACGAGGCAGAGGTGTGACCATCGATTATCGATTACTTATTGATATTTAATGATATATCCGTAACATCGTTAAGGAGTTACGCGCCATTCTGGAGGCCACGAAATGATAGGTGACGTTTTCCCGGAGGTACCAAAGTTTACCATGCGAATTATTTAAACAAACATTTGTACATTTACGAGTGGAATTTATACATTGTACGATACGATACATTTGATTGTGATAAGATGAAATTTAGGAATTGTGAAAATCTATTCTCCTTTGTTAATTGGTTGACATAAAAAATCGATGCAGGCAATTGTTCACTCCAGTCAAAAATGTGAACGAAGCTTGCAAACTGTTTCTGATCTAATGAATGCGGTCGCGTTTCTTGCAGTACCTTGTTAGGGCTCATCTTGCGGCGAGCGAACATTACAGGAAATGGTGGTAAAAGAACTTGAATGACTGAACCTTGTGCACACATGTACCTATGCACTTTCTCAGAGAACAATTTTTATTTTAAGACTTACAAGGTTGCGTAACCTTTTCAACAAAAAAGAAGATTTTCCGAGTAAAGGAAGATGTGTCGAGTACTTATTACTGTATACTTACATATTGCAAATATATTATAATATAATTTCTTATATTTGCGTATGCAGCCCGCGATTTCAGAGTCCGTTTTTTATTCGATAGACACGGGGAACACCTGTGAAAGTTTGGGCAGATCGACGCAACTGACGCGGATTTACCGGACGGATACAAGCTGACGAGGTTAAGATAAAGTGATCCACGGGTCGTTCTCGATTAACCCTTTGAGAGGTGATTTGGGATGTAGCGTAGGTTAGGTAATGGGGGCAGCAGAGGATTGGTAATCGCTTCGAGATGTTCCGAATGCAGCTCTCTAGTCTGTTTGCGATTAAAATGTTTCGGAAATGTTGCAAGTAATTACTGAAAGTTACAGCACGATAGATTACAGTAGTGCTTCGACGAACGAGAGATAGTAAACCTTTACACGATGTACAATTAGAGTCAATTTATAGGAAATGCAACTACTATAACTTGTTCAAATATCTTAAAAAAGTGAGGAGAATTAAGAACGTTCCGTTATGAAACATCCACTCGATAGATGCGGGAATTCCAGAGCCCTCGATTCTTTCTAAACGAAGGCTTCGATTCCTCGATGTCGTTCAAACGATATTCAAAGGTGATTCTCGCTAACTCGTTCGAAACCAGGAAGAGCATAGACATCGGATGCACCGGTATGACTAGCCACGGGTATACCCGTAGCGAAAAAGGAAACCTGTTTCTGTTAAAGGTTTTGTGAATCATCCCAATAAATTTCGACCAAAATATTGAACGGCATCGCGGCTCGTATAATTCGAAGAAGAAGAACGGCCAGTTCGTGAAACGACCGGGATCGACTTGATTTACCGATCGACTTCCAATCGTTCAACGTTACAAGAACCTCGCTCGTCTTTCATTCCGTGTTCAGTTACCTAGCAGCGCACCTTCGAGATCTCCGGTTAAAGAGAACATTTCGTAAGAATCATCGATTTCGTAAGAATCATCGCGAGCATAATCACGAGAGCATCGGGGACCTCTCTACCGAACGAATCAACACGGCGAAGATCGTAGATTACATTCTTTCGTTACTTCTCGAAACGGTATAACTCTCTTTCCAGATATAGCGGCGTAGTAAAATGAAGAGACACGAATTCGATCGTCAAAATACTAGTTTTAGGAAGAGAAAATTTTATTATACATCGTTAAGTTTCTAAGTTAACTTTTAAATTTCGAAGATCGGAGAAGTTAATCGTTACAGATTGACGGTCGCAAGCTGTTTGGCGCCTAATCTGGCCATCGTAGGCACCATAGTTTCTATGAAGCTATTTCGAGCGACCATTAAGATTAATCGATCATTAACACCGGCTCGATTGCTTCCTTCAATCAAGTTATACGGCGTCGGCTGGCTCGGATCGTTGAAAAGTTCAGTTGGCGAACAATGCGTCGTATTCGAGCGAGTGTGTACGCCGGCGTGATTTATGCCGGTTCCTGGGCCACACATCCACCGCTTGGAATTAAATTACTTTCACGTGGGGTGTGGGAGGATGGGGCATCTACCTTTGTGAAATCGATGCGATCTTTTAAGAGGCGTAATCTTATTATTAACAATATGTACCGGACGTCCGTTTCATTAAGCCCCCATTCGGACAATGCCGGGCTCTGATGACCCTATTCGTTCTTAACATCGAATAATTAAGAATAATTAATGGCGGGAGATAATTGATTCGTCGAGCAGTAATAGTCGAAAAACCACGTTTCGAGATATTTCAGAAGATAGCTTTTTGTGTGTCACCGATCTTTTAGCACTGTTTCTACTCAAAAACGGTTAACTATGCTAATTCGCATGAATATTTATGCAGTCTCGAACATGGTTAAACCATACATGGTTAAACGATAATGGAGATTTAATAGTCGAAGTGA